CGGAACTTCGGCAAATTTGGCTTGTCCTGCGGAAGTTCCGCTGATTTGTTTGAGAATGTGTTAGCTTTTATCAAAATCCTTCACCCCCAATTCGAACACTTCTTTGCAAAGCAAATCGAGAAGACAAAGCTTTAGCATAGCGAGATCTCTTGTGCAGATTAGCGCTTTTTAAAAACACAAATATAAACATAAACCCATTTCTTGACTTTCATCCTGGGTTTCATTCTATTCTAAGAAAGCCTAACATAGGGTTTTACTTTACCCTTGTATTTCATTTTTTTATGAAGCTTTATAGACAAAATCTTGTACAAGAAAAAATCCTTCCGCGTGTATGCGCGTCGCAGAGCCGTCTTTGCTTTGAAAACATTATACTCAACAGATTTCTCATGTGATTCATTTCATTCTTGATATACCATAGCATCTCGCCTGATATAAAAGTGACAGTGCAAAGAGCGTGCTTTAGATCTATCATGCAGCGGTTCTTTCTTCTTGGGACTCTTTGTATCATCAGTTGCTTAGCCGATGACAAGGTATTCAAACAATTTTTATGATTTTACTTCTATCCTGCCTTCTTCCAGGTAAAAAACGCCACAGCTGCCGGTAGCTATGGAACCTATTACGACACCTATAGTCAACCAGTCAGCTACGTGGTTCCTCCACCACCTCCACCGCCACCGCCACCACCACCGCCAAACTATGGACCCTACGCCGGTTACCAGTATGTCCGACTACCGCCGCCCCCGTTGGTGGACCGTAAGTTGCGTTCTAATTTTATTAATTTTTATATTTTGAAACTTTTATTTGCTTTTTGAGGCGACGTATGTGACCTGGACGCTTCCGTACTGCTTGTCGCACAATCAAAGCGTCACGGACGTGATGACCATTACGGTCATCGCCTCAATCGCGCATACCGTGTCAGGTAAGCGTCTTGTAAAGCGAGAACTGGTCCCACAGTTCGGTGTCTACCTAGGTGCTCAGTGATTGCGAACTATGACGAGGACTCCTGCAATGTCTGCTGCCAACATGCTGCACGAAGGGACAAGAATCTTCAGAATGTGAGTTATCAGCAACTCAAAATTTTTCTAATTTTCCCATTTAGAAGCAATTTGTCGGTTTCCTGGCGGTAACTGAAGATTATGAACCACGTCCACGAGAGGATAGCCATGAAAGGAGCCATGAAGGAAGCCATGAAAGGAGCCATGAAAGGGATAGCCGAGAGCACGACAGAGATCCATGCGAGAGCGGCGAGGATAATGAGTGTGATCGTAGCAGAGAGAGGGTAAGCGCCTACCTAACCCTAGTTAATCTGGTTAATGGGAATGTTTTTAGGTAAGGAACAGGCGGCACATCGACCACGACGACCACGATGACCATGATAAAGTCGATAGCCGCGAATTTGAAGAAAGGGAACCTCTCGGGCTAGCCAAGGTAGGAAAAAGTTAGATTTTTTGAAATTTTTTAGCCCAATCTAGTTGAAATGCATAAGAAAGAACCCATAAAGTATTGACTGTGGTCTTCTAGGCTGATTTCAAACCAGGACCGTACTACAAAAATGTGAAGTGCGTGTGCTGCGCCCCGAAACGTCCTCTACCGCCGCCACCTCCTCCAATCTACCAAGCTCCACCCGTGGTTGCACAACCGGCTCAGGCTCCCGCGCAA